TCCTAAGGCAATAGCATCAGAAGAAGAGGGTGATTTTTACAAGCATAGACCGGACTTAGGTTGAGATAACTTAGGTTGAGGCTACAGTTTACTTTTAGNNGGGAGTTTAGACATGAGAATATTTACCCTTGCTGAAATTTATCGCAAGGCCATTCATTTTAACTGGGTGGGTGGGCGTTCCTATTTTCGTGTCTAGTTCAGGCGACCTTACCTGTGCTACAGCCAAACAGTTATGTTTAAATCACCGTTTCAAAAATAAAAGCACTACACAAACCTACACCAACCAACTTTGGCACCGGATTTCGATTTTCCACCCTGAACTAACGCTAAAGGCGTCATAAAAGGTAGGGAAGGAGGAGGAACAATGAGCAGAGATGAGGCAAGGTTTTTAGGCAGAAAATACCAGAAGAGCTGGTCCTGTAAAAACGCCCTTTGAAACCATCCTAGTAACCGTCTACGTAGGAATGGTGCAAAATAAATAATAGGTAAAGGGGTGGAGTTCACATGTGCAATAATATGGACTACCTTATCGGGGGACAGAAGAAACTGGAGCGGTGTAGTCAGAGACGCGGTTGAGTTTCCAGATGGTCTGACCCAGTGCACAACCCAACCGCTCTCCTTGGCCTCCCGACTGCATCTCTCGACGCACTGGACTTCAAACAACACTTTCTGAAAAGGGGAAATGGCCATATAGGTAAGTCGACATCATGAGAACAATTGCTGACCGTAGATACTCGGAACAGTTGATTCACACCGACATCTGAAGACAGAGCACGTCAGAAGTAGACAAACAAATAAATAATACCCTGGTGTACGAGACCTCTAATACGTTAAGTTAACAAGTACTCCTATCTTTCTTTCTCTGTTCCAGCTGAGGACCTTTCTGGTGGATCCCTTTCTACCTGACTTCTGAGTTGGTAGAAACACCACAGCCCAAAGAATCTAGGAGCATTTTTATAAATCTTGATCAGAAAAGAGCGCAGGGCGTAATTGCGCTGATCAGCATTGCTTGTTCTAATGCAGCAAGAAAAACCAGCCCATGCTGGCCTTTCCTGAAATTTATGAAAAAACAAATAGTAATATTATAGCGCCTACACTATCGACATATTTACAAGGTCAAGGGGGTTATGCAACGTAAAAACTAAGTGAAAAGCTAACCTTTGAGGTGGGGCAGATTATGTGACCGGTGTCACTAGCCTGACCTCCAGAGGGACTGAAAAAGTTGGTACTGTCAAAAACCAGCCCAAAGACGTCCGCAGAATTGGTTAGGGTCGAGAGGGTCTGAGCCAGCAGTGAGGGATCACAAACGATTGTGGGAGATGCCGAGGCATCGGGTTTGTTTGGCAGAACAATGGCAGACAGTGTAGCGAGTAGTGGTTGGACGGCTAGCACGGACAGAAAATAAAAACATATTACTGAACAGAGCGGACGCAGAGGCATGTGGCCAAAGCATATCGAAGAAATAACTCAACGGGTCTTCGAGTTTGAACCTTGCTGGGTTGATGGAAACAATTATCTCAGTATTTCAAAACAGTACAGTTGGATAAGTACAAAGTTTGGGCACGATCGCCGATTGCCTAGACTTTGGGTCATAAAAACCTGAAATGGTGAAAGCCCAGCTCATCTTCTGCTTGATGATTCATTACTGCTTTATCAACAGACTCGATAATCTATTTATTTTGTGATTAAGCTTCACTGAATGTCGTATGACTAAGAGCTACATGTAGACGCACCAAATCATTAGAGGGTAGGCTA